TAAGTCTTCCGTACCACGTGCATTTTTTCTATTTGTTTCAAGAGATTTTACGTCTTTTAAGGTGTGGTTGAGTTATTCTTCACCTAAAGCCAACCTCGGCGTTTATCAACTTGACTAATAAAACTCGCGAATCACCGTCGACGTTTTAATAAAATACTGTTACAATAGTTTCATTGTTGTGTACGGTAGAAATAATTTTAATTCGCGCATTTTATACCAGTGTAATAATTGCATCGGTTAAATACGACTAAACGACTAAATAAATAGGGGAACATGTAAAAAAATGTTAATGTACTATGCTAAGTTTCGGGCATACTTCAAAGTAATCATGGTGTAATTGCGTCGATTAACGACTTGTATAACAGGGAAATAGTGTAAACGTACCGCAAAGTCAGTTGTAAAAGTAAATGTGGAAATACTGTGCTAAGTTGCAAGGTTTTTTCTCTAAGAAAAAACAGGTCGCAATGACAATGAATGTACTATTGATATTCGTCGTGCCACAAGCGTGTTCATGCTCTCTGTTATAAGCTCACTTTCAATTATAAAACCTGTTTTATTATTCGGATAAAATAACTTGGGTTTTCGATGGCCTCGTCGTCATAATTCAAAGTATCACCTGTTGCATATTATTGAATATTGGTAATTCCCAGTTACATATAACATTTACCATTTCTCTGACTGTAAAAAAAAGAGGAAATAATATATATATTAAAAAAGAGGAAATAATATATCACCGATGGTGAAACAAGTGAAAAATCTGTGTATGACGGCCGATGCATACCTGTCCCATTGCCTGTCGGCCACCCCTCTATTGTGAATGGGGATGACTACCCGCAATGGCGGACATCAGTTGCAGTGTTTGCATCGACAAGAAAACCCTGACTAAAATTCAATTGACATTATTGGTGTTGATTTATCAAAACCAGTTCTCGATATCATATCCGCGTGTATGTACATCAATGCTGCTTTGGTTGGGTTATCCGGCAATATTATGGTGTGTCGTATTTTATATAAGAACAAGGAACTAAGAACTCCGTCGAACATCCAGCTATTATCGTTAGCTATAGTAGATGTGTCATCTTGTATCTTAACTTCATTTGTGCGGTTTGGTTTGATGGTTAAAAGTCTTCTGTACGGGGCAATCGATATACAAGGTCCGTGTTGTGCTTTGCATATGTTTGGTTTTTACACCTCAACTATCACAACTTTAGTTTCCCTAGGAGCTATCAGTGTCTCGAGAGCGATAGGTATTGCAGATAAGTGTTCGCGGAGTACCAAGAAAACGGTAAACATCTATTCGATCGTTGTCAGTTGGATTACAGGCATAGGCTGTAGCACATTAAAGACATGGGCCGGGGAAGACCTCATGTGCAACCCAGAGTCTGTAACTATGGGTGTGAAAAATGTCGCAGGAGTTGGAATAATACTAGTATTCATCATACTGTTTACAATGGTTGTATCATATTCCTACATCTACCGCGTGCTCAATCGACATGAGAAAGCATTTCAACAAGCTATGGCGGCAGGAGGCAATAGTCAACATTTTAAACGCAAGCCAATGAACGTTGCGATATTAAAGGTAGCCGTCTTACTCATTTCAATGTTCATAATATCATATTTACCACTTGCATTTTATGGTGTAATTGCGGCTAATGTTGATGGATATAGAAGTGAGCATGTAGCTAGCTTAACTTTAGCGTTCGTTTGTTTCTGCAGCATGATAAATCCTATAATATACACTTTAACTTTCAATCAGTTCAATAAATATTTACCTTGTAAGAAACAGACATCTCTCAATGAAATTGAGTTAAAACGACGAGGCATATCAGGGAAAAAAGCCAATAGTAATAACAACGATATAATCAGTATCATTGCCATATGTATCATCTTTGATGAGTGCCTCCTTTTTTCGAAAACATGAGAGTCACACTCCCGGGAAGCGAATATATTGCTATATTTTAAAAACGCCAAAGTTGTATACCCGTGATACATCTGTAATGCGAACACATTTATAGCAATGTTTGCATTTTACCGTTTTTTTCATTTTCTAACTAAAAAAAACGTTTTGTCAATCATGCATGTTGTTTAATATTATTTATGAAATATGAAATTAACAAAAAACAATCGAGAGCACACGAACTTCTGAAAAACACTGAATAGGTTTGAATATACATAACTTGATGTACTTTCATAACCGGGGCAAGTAACATGTGTTAATTATAATTACATGGTCCTTGGAAAAGGCGAAAACTGGATAACCAAAAATAATTTAAACTTTCTCTACTTACGCTAAAACCTCAAAATATAATTAAGAATTCGATGTAAGTATTTGTGCCTCTTCAGTCTGATCGAGAAATAACTTTAAAGTATTATGTAAAAAGTTTATGTTAAGTGGACGACACCTGTATTTCCTGGAAATCTTAATAGAAAATATGTTTTCTCTTATGCGATCATTTTTCAAAAGTTGTAATATTTACCACTAACGAACTAGATTGCTTTCATATTTACCACGCATGCATTTTGATAAAGTCTCACAATTGTTCTAACATGCCACGGTATCTCCAATTTTAATTTAAAAATTTTCTTTAGGTTTTGCTTGAAAACCACTAATAAAAATTTGTCATCGCTAGGAGAAATTATGCGTGGCGATAAAATAAATGTGTTATCATTATTTCGATAGCCTGAATGCAGTTTTATTGGATCTGTTCATCTTGGGATCTTCTAGTTTTAATAATTTTGACATTTAAAAAAGCATATTGCTTCTGTATTGACGGAGAAAGTACATGTACCTGGATGTTTACTACTATCTCAGATTTGTCAATTTTAGAACCATATTCCTGATATTGTATTTTTTTTCAAAAGTAATCATTTTAGTTCAAAATATTTTCGTAACGTCTTAAAAAACGCAATCTTTTCATATCATATTGCATATTTCACGAGTAGTTCTATCAATATTTGTTCTTTTCATAATAATATCAATAATTGTGTGAGAACTTTCTCAAGAATTGACACAAATGTACTTTAGTTTTCTATTCGTATTATTGAGTTGTTTTAATTAGTTTATATATTGTACTGTATAGATCTCAGATAGCGACGCTACAATGCGTGAAAAACTGCTTGCTTTTCTTTGGGTTTGTATTTAGATCCAACCAATGTCAACGGAGTTTGAAAACTATTTCCGATATGTACATGACCTACTGTACTTGTGCCGCAGTTGGATAGTGCACAGATCGTGCTCTGTTTCATTTATTTTATCAGACTTTCTGGTACATTTGATGATGTGTATCCAAACGCACTGTCGCCTAGTTATTTTTTTCTGGTGAATTTTGCTTGATGTGTCCATGTCTTTCATGATACTTCCTTTTCTCTGTAGGTTTGACTTGTCAGTACCGTAATGTGAGTATGTATGAAATAAAATATAATCCATTCTTTGGAACCGTGTGTCTTTCTCATCCCTTCTTGAAAAGTAGCATTTATTTTATTTTTCATCGCCTTAAAGCATTGCATTGTGGGTACTGTTAAAAACCATGCAGTTTGAAGCCGCGTAAAGGTTCCAAATTTTTTTACCCAAATTTTGCAATATTGCATAAAAGCGTGTTAGTAGTACTGCGAATTAACGTTTTGGTTAATATGCGATGGAAGATGTGGTAACGGTAATTGGAATTTTTCTCGTCAATTTAACCCAAGCACTTCTTTATTACTTTGATGGTGTATTTTTACTTCCACCACAACGAAAAAATGTATTGTAGGTTCTCCTACACCTACCGGGATGTGATGTTCATCGTTTATGACAGCTAACTGAAAGGCATCAGGACGGTGCGTCGTCTACACAATGATTACATCGATAGCTACTTTTCGTCTTTTAGTCACATTTAATTGTTTGTGTACAGGCACAATTCCTGCTATTTGTGTGTTATGAACACACCCTTTACCCTTTTGAACGTTTGAAAAATCATTACTACACATATCAATCACGGCCACCACATAAGAATCGATATTATGTATGATCAAACATCGCATAATGCACCCTTTATGCAGCGTGTTGAACATCAGTAAAACAAATGTACTCCTTTACTCCTACATCGCATAATGCACCCTTTACCCCTTTGAGCGTGTTGAACATCAGTAAAACAAATGTACTCCTTTACTCCTTCTGTTAATGTTTCTCCTAATTACAATATTACAAATAATTGGCTTTTATCTGTTATACGAATATGGAGTCCATCGTCTATCAATGATGTGCACTAAGGTGGGCCTATGGGTGACCAATCAGTTGTAAAAAATAATCAAAATTACATAAAATTCACCCTTTTGGGGGTCTGTGGTCTTTTCCAGAATAGTTTCTGTGTCCTTGGTGACGAACCAAAACGCAAAAAGCAGCAATGGAATGTTGAAGTATTGGGAGGATATTGAGTTCATTGATGATTTGTTCCATTTGCTTTCTGACTCTTTCACTTTTTGAAATATTTGTCATGCCACAATAAAAAAGACTTGTGACATTATCTTCATTATCTTTCACCAGCTAGGTCGGTTCAAAGTTATTG